ATTTAATTTAGTATTACATCATATAGGTATTTAAACTTTTATATTTTATTATATTTTTCCTGTATACAGTTCAAAAAAATTATAATTGCCATTCAAATTTACCGACCTGCAATGTCTACTGTCTACACGATTACTTTGTTTGGTTAAAAAAATATTCGTTTTTTTATTAAATCTTTAAATAATTTATAACTTAAAGGTAGTTAACACGTATGTATATTCTTACTTCACATATTACAGATTTTATTTGCTTTTTCAACATGGAAAGCATCTTGATTTTATTAAATATTTGGAGGTCAGTCATACCAATAGCTTTCAAGTCGATCTATTTAATTAAGTGCATATTTTATAAGTATTAAAATAATTGTTGTCGGTTTTATTACCATATTTTAAGTAATGATCATTACTCACCACGAGGAACTCAAGTAACTTATTGATGAACGGATGCGAACATTTTCGGACTACGCATGTGTTTGCTTCAGCCACCATTTCTTGTTGGACGTTTTCGTACAACGTTTTGTAGAAATCATAAAATTCGTTTCTTATACATACTGATTTCCTGTTATTCAAAACGCCCCACACCTGTTTGGCGTCCGTCTCATCGTACGCCAARCATTCTAATTGGATATCTGTTTTAACTTGTTCCACGCGCAAATTAAATGGCACCGGTGTACATATCGGCTTGCCATTGCAGTCCAGCCATTGMGGTTCATTCGTATCACCCATTGTAATAGCTAAGTAACCAAACACACCACCACTATTCGGTAAAGTGCGGATAGCTACATAGGTTCGATTGTCAGCAGAAACCAAATTGTCAAATTCGGTGACTTCCATTTCACGGTTTTCGGGTACAGGTTCCTCGTCCAACTACAATAATATCGACATGGTTTCTTAATAATATTCTTGTAAGAGTATAAACTGTACAACATCTATAGTACGCGTATATTTTCAGTGTATTGTACCATAGCTATAATATTAATCTTTGAATCAAATAACTGATGGATGTAACAAGTGGCCTAGGTAACAATACAATAATTGCATGTATCAAATAGTATGCTGTATAAACGCATAAAATATCAACGTCTAAAAAATGTATACAATATTTCGTGTTTAAAAATTATAATAAAATATTATAGATCTCGCCAAAAGYTTAAACCCATCCATATGTTTACAGTACGTCAATTTATACGTGACTTCAATAATATAACACTCTGTATTATTATTGTGTCCCACATTCATAAAAGTATATTATTAATTATTATACTTCATCTTCTTCTTCTTCTTTTTCCAAGGACGCCTGTTGATTCAACACGGTCTTCAACCAGTCGATGAGTTCGGCGTAAGCTCGGCAGGATGGCCTCTCATTGAACGGAGTCCGCAGTTTATTGCTCTCGATGTCCATCAACATTTGACTCAGGGCCATGTTTCGGATTCGAGCMTCGTCCAAATCATTACTTAAATGTTCAAGAATCATAAATAACCATTCCTGAACGTAGGTAAATGTAATTTGTAAGCTCATCATGWTAGTCAGTGATACATATAGGTAACAATATATTACATTAAATTATTTCAAACAACGGGTACCTAGTTAAATGATTTGTCCTTGTATTTAMCTTATATTCCTAGTTAAATTATTAGACTTGCATTACGCTATCTTTTATTTTTTTGAGGTTGTTATTATTAAAAATATAAATCCGATTTACCTGCACAATAATTTTCTCCTCCGACTCCTCTATGCGGTTATAAGATTCCTCGAGATGTGATATGTACACCAGAAGATCTTGAGAAAGAATATTTAATTTTTGTTCATCTGTGACTGACATTTTATTTAAAATTTTGTTAATTTAAATCATGAAAATTATAATTTTTACTATTTTTATTCAAAACTTTTGACGTCTTGAATATTAACTATGGTAACAAACTTACATGTAAGTTGAAATTCTACGTGTAGCCATGCATAACACAATAGATTATCACTAACTACTGCRGAGATAATCATCGAATTTCATAATAAATACCTACAGGTACAGTAGCCAAATAGYCAATAATGGAACACTGACTTGAAAAAAAAATCTCTATAGGTAAATACAAATATAATTTATTTAATTATAT